AGTAAAAAAAAAAAAAAAAAACAAAAAAAAAACAAAAAAAAAGGAAATACGAGAAACGCGAAACTCTAAGATGGTATACTAAATGCATGTAACGATTTAATTATTCTTCATATAACCGACAAACGATTTTTATACATTTCCCTGCGTATAATGTATCGCTAGCGCTTGAAAAGTCTCAAAATTTATAGCGAAACAATTTTCTTTCATTTTCATCGGCGACGCTTAGGGAGAAATGAAGGAACATTGAACGTTCGTTTAACACTTACCTTCTGGCTTTGATATACGTATGAGATATAAACGTAAAAGGAAAACCCATAAGCGAGAGGAATATTTGAAAGTACAATGAAAGCTGTATCGGTGATTCATTTTTACTTTCACTCCTTTCTTTTTTCCTTTTATTTCTTCTTTTTCTTCTTTTTCTTTGGCCAGAATGATAAAATCAGAGAGCAACGTGCTCTGTGAATTATGGCAAATGCGACAATTACGATAATCGAAAACCATGCTCGATGAAGGGAAAAGAAAAATCAGATCTCGACCAAATCTCGGCTTCTATTTTCCATGTAACTTCAATGTATCTTGAATTTAGAATCGCGTACCTTCATGCTTCCTTGTCGACTGTTTTTTTACCGTTTGCCCGACCAGGCTACGCACAAGTTTCCGCCACATAAGCCCTTAACGACCGGTCGGCACGAATTCACGTGTTTCTATGTGAACGAGTCAGCATTGTAACACGATTGAGCGAGAATTAATGAAAGAGCAGCGCGCTTGTTCTCGCGGTGTGATAAGAACGCTGCTTTTCTCTCTTTCGTAAAAATTATCCTTATCTTGGCCGAGCTGAAGCGAGATTATGTTAGCGAGTAACGTTCGAGCGAATATCGCGTGATTTATTTCTGTACCGACGATTAATCTTGGTTCCTCGAGTCCGAATATCTGTATACGCAAATACCATGTAATTAACACTTTGACTGCCACGTTGGTCATACATGACCGGCCACGGTTTCTCCTGTGACGCCATGGTGGTCATTGATGACCTGAGCGCTTGAATTACTTAAACTACATTGAACAACATTCATTAAAATTTGACAGTTAGTGCATTTCGAATATTACCGCTAATTAGAAGATATTTCGAAATAAACAGTGCCCCATTGAACGATTAAAAATTTTTATTGGAACATCAAAAAATATTAGAATAAATCTTGCATGTAGCGGTGCACTCCCATGGTGTCCTAGGGGAAACACGTGATTTCGGCAGTCAAAGAGTTAAGTAACGATTACTTCGAGAAATTTGCGTTTTTAAAAATTTCTTTTCCGAAGTTACCGTTGTAATTTCTCTTTGAAGAATTCTCTTTGTCTCCGCAAATATAATTTCTCTTTCAAAAGCGGATTCTTTTTGCGACGAATTCTCTTTCCGAGGAATCGTCCTTCCAAGACGATTTCCTGTTCAAAGCGAATTTTCTCTTCAAAGGAAATAACGAATGTCGATCGAGACTCGCTGTAATCGACTCGCTGGAATGGACTCGCCTGCGACAAGCGTACAACCATCCGAATTTTTACGAAAGAGACGTTTCCAATCGCTTGCGTAAAGGTTGCGAATTTGTATAGCTAGCACGAGAACGATGGTACAGGGAGAATTATCCGACCACGCACACGATATTTGTAATTTGCATCGATTACGCGTGAATCGCAGAAGCAAAACAGTTCTCCGTGAAACGCATCAATGGACACGTACACGCATGTCGCCATGCGAAGACAGTAATCTTATCATTTTCTACTCTGCCGTTCGTTTCCCATAGAGAATCGCAAAGACACACTTTTGCTAACCGAACCTTGCCTTGAATTGATTTCCCGTCGTACCACGGGGAGGTCCAAGTGCCGTCTCCCGGCGTTGCTGCACGTTCATCTCATCCACTCTACCAACTCGCCAGCCAATGTAAAATAAATTCATTTATGCGACACGAATCCAAATGAAACGGATCACCGATCGTTCGATATATCTCATTCCCATCGGACGCAGATCATTAAACGGCTCGAATAGCACAACAGCGAATCCTGGCCCGGAACTTTGACTTCCCCGGACCGTACACTCAACACGCATCAACAAATTACACAGAATCGAAACGATACATCGACATCGTGTCACTCGGGGATCAGCGAAATAATGCGTTTACCGTGCGAGAAATTATCCCCGTTTATTCCACGAATTTTCTTTGCCTTCGGTGATTTTCAATCACGCGAGAATTTCCTAATGAAATGAAATTCTGTGAGAAATGTGCGGATCGTGAGGGAGCAAGTCGTGGATAAATTCTGTACACGCATAATATAATAGCATATATTCGCATAATTTCGAAGCTCATACCTGAGCCGAAATAATTTCTCCTATCTACTAGAGA